CTTACTTAATGTTATTGATCCCTATTGACACTCCTACTGCTTTAGACTTATACTTTGCAGTACTTCACACTAGTTGTAACCCGGTAAGACTGTACTGTCCTAGTCCTTGTAGTAAAAGGAATACTACGAGTAATGAGCTAATACTTAAAGTAATTAAGCTGATTGATACTGATCTAATGTGAAGTTGGAGGTAGCTATCAGAAAACTTATGAATACTGCTACAAAGTAGCCAGGTAACAACTAACTCACGACTTAGCTGACAGAACCTCGAGAGTATCCTCCAACACGTCCTCACGCTACGAACGCTCGACCAAGACTGATGTAAACATGGGGGGTGGGGGAGGGCCTGTGTCTAACAGTGAACAGAAAATGGCTGATGATTTACTGACAGTATTCCCTTTTTTTCTGCAAAAAGGTGAAAATATTGGTGCTTAATATAGCTGAAAATATCAGGCCAAGATATGTCAATATTTTCTGCAAGAATTATGAACTATCATGCAAACTTGTTTGCTGCTATGCAATATCTTAGTCAGCATAGGAAGGGGCAAAATACTTGCAATTTCCCTTTTATTCTGCTTCAAATAGGATCTTTCTGCTTTCCAGCATTTACTGGTCACATTTTTCAGCTTCAGTACTAATTTTAGATTATGGATAATGAATGAAGGAGAACTCTAAAGAATGACTATGGAAGGGAAAACATTCAAAAGCCCAAAAATGTCTTTTTTGCCAGTCTGATTGCAAGTGCTTTTGAAGCCAGTACAACAATTTTTATGTTTATGCTGGAAATAGAACCTGGTAATATTGTTTGTGTTTTTGGCTTGTTTCAGATGCCAACAAAGGTCCAAGTGAAACAAAACTTCATACCTTCCCATGGAAGAACCATGCGCCTCTGCAAAGCCCCAGATATGGACATTCAAATTATTGAGGAGAAGCAGAGGGCTAAGAATGTCCCACTGCAAGGCAAGTATTTACCCCCTATTAACCTGGGTGGAAATGTGACCTTGATGCAATTGGATCCAATCCCAGAGTCTTCCAAGAACCCCTTCTTACACACCAACATTTTGGCTAACCGTGGAATAACCATCACACCCCCTTCTGATGCTGGTCTCCTTGTTGTGGATGCTCAGGATCCTGCCACCACTCGTATGATGACCAAACGTGGCATTACACATGGTTTCAAAGTATCTCATGTCAGTAATGGAGGAGTTTGGAATAGTTTCATGCTCCCTTTGGTTCCCCTCAACCGTTCCTTGCCTCCCCTGCCGAATGCTGCCAAATATTTATTCCGTTTTGGCAAATTCATGAAACTACAATAGCCCTGAAATGTGTGGCTGGATGAATAGATAACATGATATTCTAGGTCCTGTATTCACGCATGGCAAAAATATTACCTTAATCCTCATGGATGCATTCCCAGATTCTTCAGAGAAGCCTTTGTCCCACCCTGCCAATAACTGATCTCTTCATTATGAAAATTTTGGGATCCTGTTGTTTCTCATTTGACATCCCTTCATGGTATCATCCATGGCTTCAAAGTATTCCATGCATTGATGGAAGAGTGAGGTATCCCTTTGTGTCTCCACTTTGTGGAGACACAAAGTGTCCCCTTTTTTTTTTCTTGCAATTAGTCCTTGACATCTTAGCAGAAAGTCACCAATTGTTTATTCTACAGCAAATCAATGGAACTGCTGTTGTTCAATGGGATTGCTCTAATTTAATGGTATTATTTTGATTTCATAAAAACACAAAGATTCCATCTTTGCAGATTGTTGTTTTCTTCACAATGTGGTATGTGGATGGGGATGAAGTAATGATACAGAATATTTCAGATCCTCTGTTCACTTGGATAAAAGTGTATTCCCATTTGGAGTTTTCATTTCACTTTGTTCTATTGTTGAGAAGGCCAGCTTGCTGTTAATTCACACGATTGATGTTGATTCCATTAATTCATTTTCCATAGAATTTGTCTTTATCAATCCATTCTGTACAATGTAGTGTGTGGATGGATGGATGAGTACACAAATTTCTGGTGCATATTGATTGATTATTTCTGATTATTTGAATTCAATTGATAATTAGTTTATGTAATTACTCACCATCCAGTTGTTCTTAATTGATTTTCTTGATTCTTTCCACAGAGATTGTACTTTTCATGAAAGGGTCGATGGATGAATAAATGTATGGTTTAAATAGTTGTTGGACATTCTGAAAACCAATCTAGAGTACATTCGGTATTGATTGAACCCACTCTGATTTTAAGGGGAAATCAATATGACATTTTTTTTAATCTTGAAAATTAATGGAAGCGAGGAGGAAGTAAGATTTGTAGAAAGGAGATATTGGATCACAAGGAAAATCTGAAATTACCATAGTTTGATTGCCATCATTTCAGGTCTTGATTGAGATGAAATGTAACTGGGTCTAGTGGTAGAGGAGCAGTGGCTGTTATTCAAGACAGTTTTTTTTTAGATTTTGTTTCCATGAAAAGAAGATTTTGCTTGCTACAATTGATCTGGTTTGCTTGCAACTTGTACCTCTTGATCAGGTGTCAATAGCTGAAATGGGATGCAAGTAGGAACGTTGGCAATTGCTGTATTCGAGGAGTGTCAGGTTGCTATGAGGCCAACGAGTTTGGTTACCCAGGAAGAAATTCCAACTGGTTTTATTGGTTCCAGTTGGCCTCGCAACTGGAACGATCTCGGTATATTTCCAAGAGAAACTCGTATGTTTTCCCGCTGTTCCATTTCCAAATGGAATTTAACCAATCAGATTATTGTCATATCCTTGTCCAATTAGAAAAATTCAAATTGTTACATTTCTGTACAATTCAGCTGTTATTGAACAGCCAACTGCTAAATGTTTGAAGCAAAATCTACAAAATTATTTACAGAACATCATAATCACATTCAAATAGAAAGCTAATTGTTCTCGAAATATTAATGCACTGCCCAGTCTGCATATCAGCATCGATTAAGCGCTCTCTGTGGCATCTGTTGATGACATGTTGCCTGTTAACCTGATAACTTCAAGTTAGCACAATTTTTTTGATGAGTTACATGTTTTACAGTTCTCTTTGCTCTGCAGCGTCGTAATTGGCCTTTTTGATCTGGATTTCTCTCGTTAACCCTTTTAGTGCTAGAGTCGATTAGATCGACACTACGAATTTCGTTTTAAAATGCCAGTCAATGAACTGGCATAAGAAGGGTGAGTAAAACACGATCAAGCGCTTTGACGAAAGACATTGCTTAATCCTTTTATTGCCCGCTCTTCGACTATGGCACTATAAGGGTTAAGAATAACTAGGCCCCATGGTGTCCAGCAGAAGTGCAGCGTTGTCTCTAAATCGCATATGCTACATTGATGTCCTGTGTAGCTTTGTCCAAGTTGTTTAGACGTTGACTTCTTGACCTCCCGCTCTGCTGCTAGTTTTTTTTAATCATGTTTTTCCCTTGTCAGGTATTCTTTTCGGATGACTTCGACACACATGCGGTTAATGTGTCCTTGTGTTGGTGTATCATTCCGGAAAACTGCTCCTTGATGGAAGAACGGGTATTTATGAGTGAGATGTCAATCGAAAGCTTATGACCTGGAGGCAATACTAAATGGGTCAAAAGTCCAAAAAAATCATACCATTTTGACGCAATAGGGCCAAATTTCGGCGATAAGAATAACATTGTACTGAATGCATTCCCGGGCGAAGTTCTCACAGCCAACAATGAGAGGCATTGTTGGTTACGGACGTTGTTGCTATGGCAGTGTTACCAGTCCCGTCGCCGGTTTACCAGTACTTCACGTAAGTCTGCACCATTCAGTTAGTGCTCTGTATTACTATTTTTAATTTTGGGGTTGCTCACAAAATGCCTCGGAAAAGGCGGTAAAGTTTAAGACTATTTTGCACCGCAATCTGTTGAACATAAGAGAAAGAGACGTTATGGAGACACAGTCAGTCGATGAAAGAGCAGGACAGCGTGCACGAAATGCTACCTTTCCACTTGTTTCACCCCATTCGTGCACGGGCTATTATGCTAATGAAAGGGTACGTGGTAACTGTGTCCTTGTGTTCCGCTGGCTCTCGCAGGCTTCTTCCCTCACATCTTAGGGTTCTTTTCTACGTTCAATCATATGCCATGGGAAGTGGTAGGCGCTAAGGCAAAACCTTTCCCTCACCCAACCTAACTGTTAAGGGTCCGTCGGCGCCGTCTCATCCAACTTTCATGTATTAATAATAAACGCCGTCTTCAATCATGTTCCTATTCATTTTTCGGCCATACTTCTGCCATTCGAAGCTGTGGTGCATTGACTGCTTCCTCATCAGATTTCTCGAGTTTGTCGAAGAAGCTAAGGTTATTCTTCGTTCTTCGAATAACCTTAGCTTCTTCGAATCTTCGTTCGTTACTTTTTCTTTCAGAAGAAAACAAGTAGGGCTTCCGTTAAGGAGAGCAATAGTAATTAGCACTAGGAAGGGATAATTCATCATTGTTAGAATCTTCTTGAGAGCATGAAACACAGTCTACTGTTCTATCTCCTGAAGTTGTTGAGTCACTTTACTTATTCATGAGGAGTGCAGACCAGTCCCGGTCCTTTCTTGATTGTCAGTATGCCCGGCCTCTCTTGACGCTGAACCTCATGGTGCGCCTCGGACCCAGCTAATTGGTTTGGAACCATGGGATCCTACCAGTCGACGCTGCAGTATCCGATGGCCCTTGTGCAAGGGAAATCTCAAGCAGTAGTTTCAACGTCAATTAGTTCAGAACATAACTTTTGCTTGAGTGCAGCATCGTAATATTCAATATATAGGGGAAGGTGGGGCAAAACGGGGCGGTTAAGGAAAATTGCCAGAATTTAGTAACAAGGAGCTGGCCTAGCACATTGGGAATTGGTATGCGGTACCTTTCATGTCTCACCTACGACTAGGATTCAACTTCATCGTGAAATCTGCGACGGTTTTTCCCTCCGACAATCCTAAAAATTGTCAAATACCAAAGTGGGGTGTCCCTGTGGGGCAAAACGAAATACTCCCAAATATTGTTTTACAAAGTTTTTATTCGTAATATTGTGACGGATGAGGATGGCATCGAGAGGCATGACTGAATGTCCTGGGTTCGGTGGTGTAGTGGTAGCACGCCTGACCGGCAATCAGGAGGCCCGGGTTCAATTCCCGGCCGTTCCTTGGCTTCTTTCGTCCTCTCATGCCTTCCGTCGTCCGTCTCCCCATTTCCCCTCCGTAACAATATATATACTTATTTAAATAGGTCACAGAAGAGAAACAACAATGAAACTTTTAAGGCAAAACAATTGTTGCTGTTTTAAATTGTTATCCCTAGTATTTATCATAGATGCAAATTTACAGATGTCACGGAAAAACACGTCCTCATCCGTGTCGTCATCGATGCCTGCACAGCTGTCATGAGCCGAAATCTAGGATGACCCAACCTTCGCTAAGTTTTGAGCGAGAGATAGAATCTGAACATCGCGTCAGCCTGAGCCTCACCGTTGTAATGGATATTCCAGCCAGAGGAGAATAGATATATAGGGCCGCTATACCGCCCCATTTTGCCCCACCTTCCCCTATTTGTCGCTTGCAAGAACAGTCCCATCACGACGTGTAGGTTGGGCAGACCCTTGTTTATGTTAACCTGGATTGCACATTTTCGTGCGAGTTCAAAGAAGCACTCCATCTCGGCCAGAATAATGATTGTATGCCTTTGGCTCCCGGCACTTATTTTATTTTCTAGCCTGCATGTCAAACACCATGAAATGAATTAGTTGATCACCCTTATGAATAAAATGAAGAAACTGCATCATGGTGTCAAATTGTCCTTAATTAAAGAATCTGCAACAACTTTTTTGCATTTGCCTACATTCAAGCCTTTCTGTTAAGCACACCTTTTTGATTCCCATTCATTTGTTGGAACACGTCTATGATCCGTGGCATCGTGAGTTGCACTGGGTATTATTAGCTACGCACTTGCACCTTTTAGTTTTTGTTTTGTTTTAGATGCATCGTTCGCAGTGGTGTATTCTACAGGGGAGGCAGCTGGTTTCCTGGGCGCCCCCTTGGAGATAATAACTTATTCCCCTGATATCGCTCGGGTGGGGTTTGGCGCCCCCGCCCTGTTCCCCCCCCCCCCCCCCCCGACGCTTCAGCCAAAATATTCCACTGATCGTTTGCCTTCCTCACAAGCTTCTCTTCATCCCTTGAAGACTAGGACGTCCTAGTGCTTGAGGATGGTCTTTTCGTGCTCCAGCCGAGCTTTCTTCTCATTGATATTTGCAGCCTTGACCTCCGCGACGAGCCTCTCGTACCTATCTATCGGGAACACTGGGTTGTTAGATGACTTGGTCTTCTCGTAGAGCTCCAACAGATAATCATTGAACTGGGCTTTCTTGCTCATTATCACGAAATTGAAGGCGGATTAATGAAACGAAAACCACTCGAGCTGTTGAAGAACAAGAACGTTCACTCTCTTGCATCGCACTGAACAAGGTGAGAGAATAAGGCTGTCAGTGAAAGCGGAAGGATGAAGGTACCCCCTTTATCGTTTTCCAAAGGCCAGGCGCACTACCTATATTCTCGATAAAAATCGTCTAACGTCCCCCTGAACTTGTACAAAAGTCAATCGTGTGGGTTAACTTGCATAAGAGAGAATGCATGCAAGTTAAAATGCATTGCGAAAATCAGACGGGTTCAAGTTGCACGGTATATTTTATGCAAGCTCAACTTGCACGAAAAGGTCAACTTGCATACGACATATACACTGGTATATGCCTTCTGCTTCTCGTATGCGAGACTGGAAGTGGACGCATGAGAAATTCAAATCCCACGGGAATTTAGGAACTCACAATTGTGCTATGCAGCTTTGGAGCAAGTGCCGAGACACGTGTGAGATGATGACATCGCATTTATCTTTCATCGACGCGTCAGAGCTAACAGAAAATAATGCGGTTTTCCCTTTGACATCATCTTCTTCTTGGGAAAGCAGTGCGGTTTCCTCTTCGACGTCATCTTCTTGGGAAGGCAGTGCATTCCGTTGTGAGGACGCGATAAGAATGCCACTTCTCTTAGTAAAAGGAATTTCCTCAACTTAGTTTTTTTTGCGACCATCGGCATAAATGTCAAAATATCGTGGATACTCAAACTTTTTTAAGGAAATGATACTCTTGATCAAGAGTGCAATTAAAACTTGTATTTTGCAAGAAGCCCTTTCATCAAGACCATATTTCATTGTGGGCAAGACATAGGAATCCGAGATCCCCCCTCCCCTTCCCCTTACCCCAGCAACGGGGGTGCCGATGCGGAGAGACTACTGCAGAAACTTGCCAATCTTTATTGTGTTTCTTTTGGAAGTCCTTGAAGTGTTCCTCTGGCTACCTCATCTAATATCCTGGGAATTGCATTCAGAATCAGTTGATATTTCACGCATTCTCCCCGAGGCCAGAGCTATTATCGACATAATAAGGAATTCGCGAAATACCAAATTTGAGAACCTCTGCTCTGCTGGAACCGGGGGCGTATTTCTTTGCTCTGCCAGGAGAGGCAGAAGCAGTCATAAAGACGTATTTTTGATAGCAGAGCTCTACACAGAAGCTCTGCCGCATATTCTGACCCTGAACTTGGTAGAGAACGGAGAGTAGCATCATGGCGTTGCCCTTGGAGAATATTCAGGTGTGATCCATTTTTTTCTCTCTGCTCTCCCGTGACGTGTGCGCTTGCGCCCTGTCTTCCGGAGAACTGCTCCAGAGAGCAAAGAAATACGCCCTGAGAAGATTCAATACCCGTCCTCTGTACCGACGGATGCCATCTTTCCTTTTATGCAGGAATGAGGGCAAGTTTTTTTCCGTTTTCCCAGGAGTGGTATTCCTAATACTGAAGCGGTTTTCACACCACGACAAGGACACGTACAGCACCTTTTTTAAATTTTTAGTTTTTTTTTTACGAGGGCTATGCTATAAGAGCGCACACGATTCTGCCACAGGGCATGCTCTGCGTGCAGGCGCATCCATCTAATCGGGCTAATCTCGTCAGACCTCTCTCCTACTCGGCTAAATTTACCGGTTCTACGTCTCAAGCATCGATACGCCCACGTTCGCAGACCTGTGGGCTTCCTTCTGTTTCCATTCATGCTGAACTCCGCCTAATCCTCAATGAGGGTTCTTGTGTCTCTCCCCCTCCCCCCTCTCCTCCCTTTCTTTATCCACGTTACGCTTATGTCATCACAGTACAAAGGGTATCATGGAGAAATGCAACAAATGAAATGTAGTGACAAATAATTTGCTCTCGGCTGTACAATGAAAGTAACGGACCTTACTATACCTTTCCAAAACAAAAAACAAACCGAGCAGTGGAAGCAAGATGAAGATAATGCATTCGCCCGAACAGATCTCGAGCACCAAGGCTGTCTGGCCCTTCTTCGCTCCTGTCTCACAAATTCCCAATGACCCTGTCTCGTTTCCCTTCTTTCTAGGACACGAA